TTTTCTGTGACTGAATTATAGTATACTTTTGGAACTTAAAATGAGACAGGTATAAAATAAAGTGCGACTGTCTAGTGATGGGAATAAAACACAGACCTTTAATGTATCTATATCTATTTTTTCTCGTTATACGCACATATTGCACGTCTCCTGTAGTGTTATTACAGTGTTACATATACACACATTTATATATATGTAATACAGGCATACGCGTAGGCACGCATGTATATGTCTCATATAGGCGCGATATATATGATATATATGTGTATATGTGTGCGTGTGTGCGTGTGGTGTGTGTGTACATACATATATATATCGTATCGTCATCATCGCAAAAGTGGAGTGAGGTAGAGGCCACCCACTCTTTCCCACAGCAGGTTTTTCCCACGCCCCCCAGGATAACCCCAACATCCTTTTGCGGCAGCAATTCCGTGGGGGCGCCGCTACGTGGGGAGAGAGGGGAATGGATGGAAACGACGGGAGAGAAGCGGCGCGCGTCAGGTGGAGGGAGGCAGGGAGCTGGAGGCGCTCGGGTCGACCGGGCCATTGTACAAACAATAGAATCTGCAGCATCAGTGACGTACTGCGTGGCTGCCGTGTGTGTGTCGTTAAGTATTGTAGGCGATTTAAAAAAAGAGAGTGTCATCGCGATTAAGGGGGGAGAGAGAGAGAGAGAGAGAGTGAGTGAGTGAGAATGAGAGAGTGTGTATACATCATCAAATCGAGCGGTTATATATCGCAGAACGGAACTATGATCTAGAAAGCGATGTCGGGGATGATGTACTAAGCAATCGATCTCATTATTAGTTAGACGGGTATACAGGACTCGTACAATTAAATTATGAATTTTGCTCATTTTATTCACATCTGATCGATGGGGCTCGTCGATTTAATATTTAATACAACTCGATTCGCGTGCGCGAGTAAGAGACGTTTGAATTCGTCGCGCACGAGATAAAGTAAGGTAAGCTCTCTCTCAAAATTGTTGCGCGGTTGAAATTTCAAACGTCAGCGATGTTCGCGCGCAAATTTCATACATCGGAGTGAACATTGTCGCGTATCGTCCGACAGCTCCGACTACTCCGGAGAACGCGAGGTCTCCTGCACACACAGTCGCCTGCACCACTGCATCGCGGTGCATTTGTTTTCAATTTGTCGAGAGCACGAAGCCTCCCCCCCCTCTCCTTTGCTCGCCACGTTCATAATACAGCCACGCGCGCGATACGTCGCGAGCAGTCGCGAGTCGCGAGGCAATACTCTCCACTGACAGTACTGACGTTGCTAACATTGCTGTTGGCCTCCGAACACTTGCAAGTTAGTTATCCGTCTGCAGTCGCGGGTTAAGGGTGATCGCGTCGTGTTAGCCGATTTCATTCGCCTCATACATTATTTTATACTATTGTAAAAGGAAGGCACGCCGTTTTCCCCCCGATTCGAATTTAATTCAAGTTACGCGCGTAATTCAAGTTACCACGCGCATCGCGCCACGCTGCCATAGACGCTGCCGTGTTTTGTCAACCGCGGTTGGTAGAACTGTTCGGAAAATTCGGAAAGTGAACAGGTGTTTTTTGAATGGATTAGGGCGGGAGGGGGCGAGGGGGAGGTGGGGGAGAGAGAGAGAGAAAGTGTGCGTGTGTGCGTGTGTGGACGAAAGAGAAGTAGAGAACGCGGAAGGAAGGATTCGCCGCGGCCGCGCCGTGGTGAACAGCAGTGGTGAACAATCGCTACAAATCGCCGCAAATCGCCGGGACTTGGCAGCCCAAGTCGCGCTCCTAACTGCTCCGGATGATCGATAGCACGGAGGATGCACGCGGGTACGCGGTTATTCTCGACGCCCGGCCAAGAATGAAGAGGTAAGTTGAGCCGGAAAAAATTTAACCTGTTCGCCAAATCGTAACCGTAACCTCGCTCGCGTCGAAAGGTAAATAAACAAAATACCTGGCTTTCTCGCACATGTCACAACTCGATCGCGTTCCCTCGCGGCCATCAATCGATCCTGCTTTCATAACCCTTCAGCTACGACATCGCCTGACAATCCTGACATTGCCGAGCCGAGGGAACGGACCTTATTGTGTCTTTCTCGCGATCGGAATGTTCGGAATGTCCAAGAGACACCACCTCTTATTTTCCCTTTCCTTCGGCAACCACTGAAAAGTGCTTCTTGCTTCACACACTTTTCATTTTCGCTCCATTTTCATAATCTAGACTCTCTTCCACTTTGCACGCGAGAGAGTCTACACTACTACACGCAGCCTGCATGAATTGAAAATAGAACACGGTATCACATTTTTCGTTGCATTTCGTGTGCATTTTGACAGTGCAATTATAACTAATCCGATATATATATATATATATTTAAATAAGGGTAAGGAAACGTAACGTGAGGGATTACAACGATGAATCAAGGTACATTTTATTATATTCTACTATTTATATCGTGCAATGTAACTTGGGATTAAATTTGCCGAGTATTTTTCCTGCTGAATAATACATTTGCATTTATATTCTTTTAGTATTTAATCAGACACTATTGTAGACTTGGATTACGTCATTAGGCAAATTCTATGATTTTCATTACGATTATCTTAATTAAGCGAGATGGTACTCGACAGATACTTTTCTCTTTCACACTCTGGCATGATCATAGCTCGCGTCCAATTTGCAAGACTAATTTATCAACTTTTGCTACTTTATATTACTCTATTCTGTCGTTCAACATTGTATATTGTGCACTATAGATCATAGCATTAACAGGATGTTGATAAGTGGATATAGCAGAATAAGAACAGATTATAACAGTTATTATATAATTTGGTGAGAAACTATACATATGTATACGATATCATATGAACCAACAATATCACTGTAAAGTACAATTACATTCTGATCTATGTTCTCAATGAGAAATTATTTCTATTGGTCAAAGCCAAAAATGATTATTAGCTCCTGTAGATTAGAGTTGCGTTACTGTGGAGTATAATTCGATGTAGCAAGTCCATATGACTGAATTCATTTAGAAGGAGACATAAACGATTATAATAGTTTAATGTAAATTAACTTTAATTAATTTTGATTCAACTCACTCTTCATTTTAATTGTTCTATTTCGTAGAATTCTTCTACACGAATTAGAAAAAGTTGAAGAGTCAATTGAATTGAGATTAAAGTTAATCTACGTTGGCGGAACAGACACAAGTGCTTCTCAAAGAGCAGTATATATACATATATATAACATGTAAAACTTGTAAAAAGCATGAATGTATGTATAGAGAGCATTTTTATCAAAAGTTTATTTTTAAAGAAGACAGAAAAGAAGGGGCTTAAAAAAGAAGTAGTATAATAATCCATAAGGTAGGTGATTAATAAAATTGTAAAATTGTTTTCTACACTCGTATACTTGATTCGTAGCGTCGATTTCGTATAATTAATGTAACTTTTGTATAACGAGGTAAAAATTATGCTATTAATTGTGATGTGTACGTTTTTTCCCAGTGTATAAACATAAACTCTACCTGTATAGTCACAATGGATAGAAGCGCTTTTAATTCATGCAGGAAAAATGAGTCCGGCTTGGTTCTCACGACGTGCGTGCATGTACGTCTGTATACGTTGTTTCCTCTTTCCTGTGCCAAGACCAGCAATTCTTGATAGCTCGTTTGAAGAAAGATATCTCGAGTTAATTACGTCTTGTCCCCAGTAAAAAGCAAAAATCTTTCTCACGCTAAAGCTTCAAACGAGCGGACATTTGTATGCAGTTTGGTATATGCTTAATCGCGCGAATGACTAACGGTGACGCTACTGTACGAATACATTATCACGTATTTAAAGTCACGATATCGTCTACTTCTACATATAGTTTTTACACATCTTTATAATTTTACGCACCCGCGCGCGCCACACTTATTGTTTTACACACACACACACACACGCACAACATACATGTAAAGAGACATGATTAATCAAGTGTGCTATTCTGTCCGCACTATTTTTAATTTAAAGCGCTACCTCTCTTTGTTCACTCACTGCGACCGCTATTTTCACCGAGTTACATTTCTTACACGATTTCGACTAATTTCGCTTATTTTTCAATACTAATTTTAATTATCTCTAATTCTTTATCAACATACCACGCTACACGCTATTATTGCACTTTTTTTCTACGAAATTATGGTAAACTCACAACCAATTGCATTGGCAACTGATTTTTTATGTACATATATACGTTATATTATAATTATAATTTTGCTTATATTTATATCGTATGTCACTCAGATAATTTAATTCATCGTAGGTAAAAGATCGCTTGGGAAGGCACGCTTGAAAGATGAAGATATAAATCGATGTCAACGACGACAATTTTGTTATTTCGTTTCGCACGAGAGTCGAATCTGGACTTTTAAATATGCCACACCAATTTGGACTGCCAACGATGGCACATGGTATGCAATCTCCGCCCTCGCCGACCTCGGTCATGTCCGTTTATCCTCGATTCGGCTCCGGCATCTACAGGGCCGATCACCAGGACCAGCGACTTACCCGGGAGGCGATGGAACGTTATCTACGCGACCGTAGCGACATGGTGATTGTAATCCTACATGCCAAGGTTGCGCAAAAATCATATGGGAATGAGAAACGTTTCTTCTGCCCACCACCCTGTATCTATCTATTTGGCGATGGTTGGAGGATGCGTCAGGAGCAAATGTTGCGCGAAGGCGAGAGCGAGCAAAGCGCTCAGCTATGCGCTTTCATCGGCATTGGTAATTCAGATCAGGACATGCAACAACTGGATTTGAACAACGGCAAACAGTACTGCGCGGCAAAGACCCTTTACATCTCTGATTCGGACAAGCGCAAGCACTTTATGCTCTCTGTCAAAATGTTTTATGGCAGTGGCCACGACATCGGCGTGTTTCACAGCAAACGTATCAAGGTCATCTCGAAGCCGTCCAAGAAGAAACAGTCTTTGAAAAACGCAGATCTGTGCATTGCCAGTGGCACGAAAGTGGCGCTCTTCAATCGACTGCGATCGCAGACGGTTAGTACGCGCTACCTTCACGTGGAGAATGGCAATTTTCACGCGAGCTCGACGCAATGGGGTGCGTTTACCATCCATCTCTTGGACGATAACGAGAGCGAGTCGGAAGAGTTTCAAGTGCGCGACGGTTACGTCCACTACGGCAGCACCGTGAAACTGGTATGCTCTGTCACAGGAATGGCTCTGCCGCGACTGGTGATTCGCAAGGTAGATAAACAAATGGCCAGTCTGGAGGCGGACGATCCTGTATCGCAGTTGCACAAGTGTGCCTTTTATATGAAGGACACGGATCATATGTACCTGTGCCTGTCGCAGGAGCGTATAATACAATTTCAGGCTACGCCTTGCCCAAAGGAAGCAAACAAGGAGATGATCAACGACGGCGCCTGCTGGACCATCATTAGCACCGACAAGGCAGAATATCAATTCTTTGAGGGTATGGGCCCGGTACGGTCACCGGTGACGCCGGTACCACTGGTCCACAGCCTACATCTCAACGGCGGCGGCGACGTGGCGATGCTCGAGCTGACGGGCGACAATTTCACGCCAAACCTGCAAGTCTGGTTTGGCGACGTGGAGGCCGAGACTATGTACAGATGCCAAGAGAGCATGCTTTGCGTCGTACCGGACATCTCGCTGTTCCGTGGCGAGTGGCTCTGGGTACGTCAGCCGACGCAAGTGCCGGTCTCTCTCGTACGCAACGATGGCATCATTTACGCGACTGGTCTAACTTTTACGTATACGCCCGAGCCAGGACCGCGTCCGCACTGTCCGCCCGCCGACGAGATTATGCGAGCGCCACGTGCCATGCACAATCAAGCCAGTATACCGCCTGCCGCGATGCCCGCCGATGTGCCCTGGAACACTCATGGACAGCCACCGCAATCGGGTCTCTGATGTCTCCTAGAAAACCGTCATAACGCGAACCAAAGTTTACGATATACTAATGATACGGATGGTGTAACGCCCACTGTCGTGTCTCACAACGACGACGATCGCGACGACGATCACAATGACGACGATGACGACGATGACGACGACGACGACGACGACAACGACGACAACGACACAAGTGAGAGCGATGATGATTGCTCGTATCTGACGAAAGATTTATTTCTCGAAATCAATGGTGATACGGCGCGATGCGGTGCGAACTTGGACAATACGAAAACGTAGCGTATCGCTCAATGCATCCGACGTGATGCGACGACGATGAGGCGCGTCGAATTTTGCGCGCGCTAGAAATCGTGGAACTAGACTTGCAACTTGTTAAGATACAGATTTACAGAGATAATAATTTATCATAGCAATCCTATAGGTTTAACGGCTTACGCTAGCGTGTATAGACTGAGTCGCGAGTATACGATGATGGATAATAGAATTTTTGGGAAAAGCAAACGAAATTATAATATTTCATTTACATGATAAAAGTTTTGATCGTTTCTATGATGTCTCCTATAGGGAAACATTTTCCTTGTAATTTCCTCCTCATCTCATCTAGCACTTTAAGAAAGATACAAAACTATCAAACGATTAGTAACGTTAATGACGAGTAATAGGGGTAACACAGTCTTGGTCTATACATCCGCATATCGGTCACCGAACGATGGTTGTGCTTTTAACATTGTATTTGTTACGAAAGAAGCTGTCGCTGCGCTTGGAATTCGGTATAACGGATCTCGAAGTTTTACAACTGGGCGTTTGCTACATTGTTACGATCGTATCATAAATTCTAATTTTTTTAAATACGTCAGTTTTATTCGTTTTATCTTATCAACAGAATATTATTTCGTAAAAAAAAAAGAAAAAAACAGATTTACAAGAACGATCGAGAACTTGTACCGAAATCCGAGCGTTGCTTCGCGTGAATGGTCTATCCTGTACAAAGTTAGATAGGGACAAGGTACGTGATGTATTTTTGAACCCGCGCACGACGGCCTCGGCATTTGGTACATTTGTAAATTCATATACGCGCGATGTCCATAGTTTCTTCATTATTTATTAGGAGATGCATATACTTTCATTGAATGAAAACGTGCGTGAATCGGCGCTGATTGTGAAAACGATCAGAGATTGATAGAGTCAGTAGATGGTGTGCGTGCATGCGTGTGCGCGCGCACACGCGTTATTGTATGTATATAGTATCTTAATGTACGTACAGCACTTATTGTGATTACAATTATGTGAATCCCGGTGTAACAATTGCGTTAAATGTTTTAGAGATGCTCGCGTAAAATTAATTTTTGATTATCCAACTTTCATAAATAAAATAAAATGTAGACAAAACGAAACAAATTCCTTTAGCATTAGATACTTATATGGCATATTGCACATATTTTTACGTATTTTTCTTTATAAAAAATATGAATATCGGAAATCACAATGTTCGAACGAGTGGATGGATCTTTAAATTACATTGTGCATGAATGGTGCGTTCGGGGTGCTACCAAAACTATTGCATTATTATATACTTATTTCACGTCTAATGAACGATAAAGCTAGAATGACAATAGTGATGACAGCATATTCCCCGAACGCTTATATCTGAAGACTTGTATTCATAATACTTGAGGTTTTTTGTAAATAGATCGAGCATCTTCTGTATTATAATTTGGAGCGTTTTTTAAGGATTTTTCGTAAAAAAGATGATTTAAAGATTATATTTATGTGCTTTATTGTAGTTATATCGATAAGTACAATGAAGACGCATATAAAATTTTATGCTCCTACACATTTAGAATAAACAGAAAGTTTATATTACATGATGTTTATTAAGTTCCTGATTGAATTCCCGATTCCAAAACTAATGTTGGGACTTCTTTGCGAACATCGTATACAGATGCACATACGTATTATCGATAGTCACGTGAATCTTTTTTACTCAGATTCTTCGAATTTGGAATTAATTCAGTTGTGTTTGAAATTTAATATGAAAGTGGAGAAATTTAATACTTTTCATTTAACAAATATTGACAAATTTTAATAAATAAATTTGCAAGTAATTAAAAAAAAATTCCTTCCAAGCAAACGCGACGCTTTCAATCATTAATGTGTGCAATATGTATACATACTCGGATCCTTTACCTTATTTTTTTTCACGGAAGATAATCGAAACACCGTCATCTTCGGGAGGAAGTGAGATAGTATCGCCTTGGGAATGTGTTCCCGAAGAGATCTGTGTTGGAAAGGGGGAACGTTGGTATATATACATTCCATGGGAATTTACCCACGATTAACGCTTGTACTTTGCGCGTGGAAAGTATGGTCGTCTTTATTCACAATTATAAAAACGAATTAATAGTAATTATACTCTTGCGCGAGGCGTTCATTTCGAAATTATATTCTGTAGACTGTAGAGCAAGGCAAATTTGGAGAAACTTTTTGTTCTACGGATACATCGCGTTATTTTGCCCGTATCTTTGCGAGAATTCGTGGTTTCTCAAAATTCGACTTATGCCACATGTACTTAATAATAAATTCACTGGACGGATAATATGTTTTAAGCATTCGTCATTGGAATGATCAGCAGTAGATTCGCAAAACTATTGCGAATACGAATTAAGCATAGCCGCTATATTATGCTCGTGTCACGCACGTACGTAGAGTGCGTGAATAATTGCTGGAGATAATAATACGAATTTTAGTTACAGAATCTACCAATGATATTTACGATACAATAAAGGGAATAATTATATTTTATACAAAGCGATAAAAAATTCCTAATCATAAGTAAATCATGTACAAATCTATCAGCTACAACTTGTGTACATATATAAATTGTTATTTCTCTTGTATAGATTATCATGAATTATAAATTAACAGGTAGATATGGAAATAATATCAATCCTATCTATATCTATATTTTATTATATATATATATATATGTATAAATTGTAGCATCAATATGATTCTAAAGTTATCTCCACAACAATTTCACGTCGTGTACAATATGAAATAAATGAACAATATGATAGACAAATGTATTAAATACATAAAATGTGAATTTAAGTTATGTTTCATCAGTCAGATAGAAATAAATCCATCGAATGATGAAACGATACTGTCGACAGAATCATCAATAATATACTTAAATTAATACGCAATTGTGTGCTCGTAAACAATGAAATTGGGAAATTCATGTGCAATTTTAACGTCAGCACCTTGTAAGATATATTTGCACATTTAGTCACGCTATGGAATGTATATTTCAATTGTACATACGTTACTTTTGTTGCTATTTGATTCGTATCGTGCGTTGCTTGTTCATGTTCGTGAGCATTAATGAAATGTAGGAGGTCAAGAGATCGTCCATCTTGTAACCCAATGAAGTTTCGCATAAAAGTTTTGAGCCGCGCACAAGGTTTCCTATCGTCATATGGAAGTAGGTATTGCCAGATGACCAATTGGAGATTCTTGTAAAGGGATGGGTGATGAGTATGTCCTGTATATATAAATAAATTGTATGTTAGATTATTGATAGCGTCTAACATGGTAAAACATAGTTGAAAAACTAAAAAATTAATAATATTTATAACTCTGTATGTACATTTATAATACTTATTTGTAACTCTACATATACATTTTTCAGTGAAAAAGAAAATAACGTATCTTGATTACCTTTGATTGAGGATGTATGAGGCTCACACCGTGTTTGTTGATGGCGATTAATAACAGTTCGGGATAATTTGGTTCCGTGCTCTGTTTTACTTCGAAGAACGCGGAGCCGAACGTCGGCCATCGATATACGATTTTCAAAAATGTAATTTTCGCGTCTTCTGGACTCATGCCTGGGATTTTAATATCTTGATTAAAAATTTAAATTTTTTTCATGCATACGAATCTTCATCGTTTGTACTTTTTACTTACCAGCATCTTGATTATAGGCAGCGATTATCGATCTCTTCCAATCGTTGGCACTCTGTATCTTTATTAAATCACCTGGTATCAGTTCTCTTAGCATTTGTCTGAAATAAAAAAAGAGTTCTCTTGTTATTTGTAATGTCTGTCCTTTGCAAAACTGCAAATAATGTGTCGAAAAATACTTACGGAATTGCTTGTAATTCTTGTTTGCTCTCGCCGAATCGTACTCTATATACCAAGGCCGCTAATCTTGATGCTTCTTCTTTTGTACATTTGTGATAGCCTATACATATTTGCAGATAATGATATAATACGATGCACCATTTATTATTATGTAGAACGCGTGTATCGCCAGAATTAAACAATTTCATGACTATTACTTACCTCTCAGTAATTTGGGAAGTTCTTGATGAAAATGGAAAATCAAATCGGCATTTCTATCTTTACCAGGAACTGTATTTGTCCAAAGCTTCTTCATGAAGAAGACTTGATATGTAAACTGTGGTGACACTCCTAGATAATATACATAATACTAATATAAAAATGTTTAATGTAAAAATATATGCGTCCAAACATATGAATATCATATATGAATAGAAATTTTAACAATTAGAGTTCCTCTCTCTATTTCCTCGTTGCAACTGTATCTGATACTACGTTTTAATTGTGACGTGTTAAGGGCGGGGGGGGGGGG